AGATAGATAGATAGATAGATAGATAGATAGATAGACAGACAAGGGAGGGGAGAGCCATGACCACCCAGTCACATGACCACATAGCCATGCCCAAGCGAGGCCACAGAACCGGTAGTAAAAAAATTTGAATCCCACCACTGGTAATTATTATACATATTGTATTAGTATAATTTAATAGAAGGCAGATTTCTGGGCAATAACTAAATTCACTAATTAAAAAATGCACATTTGCTATTGCAGAGCCTTCCTCTTTTAATGAAAAGGAAAATATAAATTATTTTCTTAAGATTAAGGTTTATTTTGCTTTAAAATACAGCCATTCCCCTATATACAGAAAAAGAATATTTTCCATACTAGTATACAAACACCTCAGGAACAGATCATTCCTGTTGCAAAAGGAATACAGTATTACTCTCTCAAAGCTTTTTTCCAAAGCATAATAGAACAATAAAAATCCATTTCTCCTCCAAATTGTTACAGAAATCACTATATGTGTTTGATAATATTTAGAAAAAGTGACATGGAAAGAGTGTAACTGTGTTTTATTTTTTTAATAAGCATCTGAGTTTGCAAAAGAGCTGCCACAATTCTTACTAACTATAGCTTTATGTAATTTGTCTCAGTCTTTTTCTCTCTCTCTTAGAACCTTTAATAGTACGTATCATCTCAGAAAGGACTAATTTATTAATTAACACCCACATCTTAACAGAAATTCATAGAACCTAACATTTCAAATAGCAGCATCTTAAGCTGCTAATTGTGGTCATCATTATCTCCCAAAACATTGGTTTGTTCCTACATCAGAGGCTTCGTTCCATATGTTTTCAAGGCACTACAAATACTTTTGATTAAGAAAAGCTAAGGTAAATTAAAAAAATAGCATATGCCAAAAAGTGTCTTCGTTTATTCCTTTACTTTAGCTATTCATTATTTTCCTCTATTCCATAAAATATATTAAAAGACAACTAAGAGTAATGCCATCTGTAATTTCAAAAGCAACAGAATAAGTTATTGATTTTGGTAAAAAATAATGAAAAGTCAGATAAAAGTCATGTAGGAGCACATCAATTTATAAAAGCAGCATTCTAATAAAACCATCATTAATTTGAAAAAAAAAATAGCAGAAAGGATAAATTTAAGGTTTAATGAGAATGTTATTCCATATTAGCATAAGGCTTCCATTCACAAACAATCTTTATATATTACTGCAAAACAAAAACTTCTTCAGATTTCATCTGAGCAAGCTAACAAAAGAAAAAGCTATAACCTAAGTAGCATGGTCTTTAACCATTTAGATCTTAGTCCACTGAACTGAATAGAATTTGTTTCAGATTGGTAGTCAGGGTAACTAGCAATCAAATACTCCCACTATTGTCAATACCCTGGATGCATCATTCATAATATTTGGAATTCCAAATGATTTTAAGGACAGTCTCACCTCAAATATATTTCATTATCCAAAGAACGTGATGTGATATAGTCGAATAAGTTAATTTTAATATAGTTAGCATACTATATCTCTATGATACTAAGTTGATAGAATAATGACTTAAAAATCAAGTTGTATATTTTTATTTTATTGTAAGTTTATATTAATCCTTAAATTGAATACATATATAATGCAAATTAAAAAAGAAGGCAAGAGACTTCCGGTGTGACGTGGTTTGAAGCAGCACGGGGTGACAGCACTCTGCCCCTCATTGCTGAAATTCAGCAGTCCGGTGGCCGTCCGAAGCAAAAATCGGTTCTGGGGGGATTGGTGAGGAACAGGGGAACTTTTGGAGCTACAATGGGAAGGTGCGATCCTCAGCAAAGCGAACCGGAGCTGAAGTGTCGGCTGTCAAGCCGGAGCTGAAGTGTCGGCTGTCAATGGCCGACTTGGAGACCCGACGTCTCACAAGATAGAAAAGGGAAGCAAAGAGAGAGAACGGTGTGTTAAAAGTGGTGTGAACAGAGGTGTTTGATTTGGTGGAAAGTGCTGAAGAAAGAGCGAACCCAGAGAGACGGTGAAGGAGAAAGCTCTATGTGGTGCACGGACAGAGCTAATAGCGAGGTGAGCGAAAAAGGGAGAGGCTGAATAGTGTTGCCAGCAGCAGAGAAGAAAAGAACAAAGAAGAAGGGAAAGTAATTGACTGACTGTGATTTGACTTGAAAGAGAAGGTGAAAGTGAACTGATTGAAACAGAGAAGTGGACTTTCTTTGAGTTTCCTTGATCATAACAACAAAAGATACAAAGAAGCAGATATAAAGGCTAAAGAAGGAGATTGACTGTGACAGTGCAGAATTTGGAGAGTCGGACATTTTGAAGGTGGAAAGTTAAAATTAACTCTTTAAGTCTACAGCCACTAATATTATAGTAAGACTTAAGCAATCTAATTGGAACTTCCAAATCTAAAATCAATTGTTATCTGTGATTATAATACATATAAGAATATTGTGGTTGATCTTTTCTTTTCTTTCTTTTCTTCTTTTTTAACGTTTGATATTTAGTGGCATTTTGTGATAAAAACCCTTAAATATTTAGGTTTATATAATTATATATTGATTAGACTTTAAAGATATTGTTTACTTGTACTTCTTAGTAAAGTATAATTGTTACTAAAGATATATTGGAACATAGAACCATTAATTTATAAAGTTATATTAACTGTTGGAGATAGGTAACTGATTGTATATGTGAAACTATCAATTAACTAATGATTTAAATGTTTAATATCTAGAAATAAAACACATAGAATAACCTTTGTAGAGAATGAAAGGAAAGTTGTGATTATTAGAAATATTGGCTGTATATTCGAAAGTACTGTGACTAAACTATGTTTCTATTGGCTTCTCCTCTCTTCTCTTCATCTTTCCTCTCTTTTTCCTTAGTGATTATATTAGAAGTTAAAATATCTAAATATTTGAATATATATTGAATGATTTATACGGCTAATAGAGTGTAAAGAAGAATATTTATAAATAGAGAAAAGTCACTGTTTAAGTGCTATATACTATAAGTTAAAGAACTTAAGATAGAGATTTTCTAAGAAACTTATTGACTGAATTATCCTGGGAATTGTACAGTTAGCTGATCCTTATTACTATTAAATGTGCTGTAAAATAAGTATAGTAAATTAAAATATTTAAATTGATTATTAGCGATAAGAATTTATAGATAAGTTTAACAGTTAAGTAATTAACTATTTAAATAGTTTAATATTAAATGCATTAAAGTAATATAAAGTTTTAAGGTAAAAATAAATAGAAATATTTATTAAATATTAAATAAATATATTTAATATTAAAAAGAATATTAAAAAGTAATATAGTGGTAAGGAATTAATATAAATAACTTTGGATTTTGGGATTGATTGGCATAACTGTACAGATTAATTAATTTGTGAAAGTTATTGACTTATTTAAGATTCAATAGAAGTCATAGAAGGGCATATTACACGGAAGAATAAGGACTGTGACAGAATCTAGAAAAATAGTGAGCATTGAATGGTGTTGTGGGATAAGATAGAAAGAATATTAGGACAACAAACCAAATTATTTCATGAAATGACAAGCATTACAACAACAGTAGTGAAGACCAGGAAGAAACCCACCCCGACAACAACTACAGTGATCTCATCACCATCTACACAAAGATACATTGAAGGAATGCTCACACTGGAGAAAACAACAGTTACAATGACTACACAGGCCATGCAAGCTACACTGTTAACAAATCAGGAGACAATGATGAAATTACAGGAAAACATGACTAAGTACCATGGAGAAATGAAAACAGAGATGGAGGAGGTGAAGAGACAAGTGAGAAAGGATATCCAAAAGTTGGATGAGAAAGTTGGCCAGATTCATGAAATTCTACAAAAGAATGAACAAAGACTCCAAACGATTGAAAAAAGAACGGAAAAAACAGAAAGAAAATTAGAGTCAGTAGACCAAAGAATGCAAGAAAGAGACAAAGAAGTAGAGAACCCACTGATCCAGTTGGAGATGAAGAGGGCCTCATTCTACTTACGTTTCCAGAATGTGGTAGAGATGAAGGAGGCAGACCTGACAGACATAACGGCAGAGGCTACTGCGGAAGCACTTCAAAGAGAGAAGAGTGAGATAATCAATGAATTAGACGAAGTCTACCGACTCTATACAAATTACGCCAGAAGATTCAGACTACCAAAGGAGGTTCACATTCGTTTTGCTTGGAAAAAGGTGAGGGACATAATTTACAAGATTACTAGAGAGGAACCTATGACATATAAAGGTAAAGAGATCATAACATTAAAACAGATCTTGAAAAGAGTTCAAGAACAAAGGAAAGATTATCGCTTTCTGGCTGCCCGACTCAACAAAAAAAAAATTGTTTAGGTGGATTACACCAGAGGGAATGTTGGTGTCATGGCAAGGGAAGAAAGTCAAGATCAACACATTGGAGAAAGCGAAAGAATTCCATGAACAACTATCAGGCACAGAGGAACTCGGTAGTAGCAGAGAAGAACTGGAATCAGCTCATCAGGATGATCAACAATTGGAAAAGAATGGAACAAAGCAGGAAGAGGAGAAAAGGAAGAAGGAAGAAAGACCACAAGAAGAAAATAGAATAAGAACAAGAGCACAAACAGAAGCAAGGAATTACAGGAACTAATTGGTAAAGGCAAAGAGAGAAAATGGATAATAATTTGAAGATATTATCAGTAACTATAAATGGACTTAACTCCCCAGCAAAATGGAATCAAATTTTGAAAAAATTGGCAAAACAAAAAATGGACATAGTATGTCTTCAGGAAGTACATGTTAGAGCCCAAGATAAGAGATTTTTGCAATATAAAAAATTAGAAAACTTAAAGTACCAGTAAAAAAAAAGAAAAATACACTCCAAAAAACATTTTTTAACATGATAGAAAAACAGAACCTAAGTGATATATGGAGAATATACAAACCAAAAGAAAAGCAGTTCACCTTTTATTCGATTCCCCACAAATCATGGTCAAGAATTGATATGACATGGATAAGCAAAACTCTAATGAAAGACATAGTACGAATAGAAATAGCACCAAATATGTGGGCAGATCACAACCCCATTATAGTAATATGGAAAGGTCAGTCAAAACAAAGAGGAAGGTGGACGTTGAAATAAATAATATATAGTAATATAGAGATAAATAATATATAGTAAAATTAAAAAAAGAATTAGAAATGTTTTTTGATGTAAATAAAAAAGAACACACCTCTTTACAGAATCTGTGGGATACAACAAAAGCCTTTCTAAGAAGAAGAAGAATTGCTTATAATGCTAGAAAGAAAAAAGAAAGAGAAAGCAACTAATTATAGAATGATATTAGAAAATTGGAAAGACAAGCACAATTAGCACCAGAAAATGAGCAAATTATAAATAAATGAAAATTAGCTAAACATAAATTGAATATATTTGAACAGGAAAGAAATTTAAGAGCATTGAAAGCAGTAAAGCAAAATTATTTCAAAAATGCAAATAAGCCAGGAAGATGGCTTGCATATAGGTTAAGAAAGGAAAAGGAGAAGAGATGGACAGCAATTGCAAGATAAGGAGGGAAAGATACAAAAAATATGGAAAAGAAAAAAGAAATAGTATTGGAGTATTTTCATGAGCTCTATAAATAAGAAAATATGAGTAAAGAGAGAATTAAACAGTATTTAGAGGAAGAAAATATTCCAATACTATTGGAAGAAGAAAGGGAAAGATTAAATAAAGATATTATTATAGAGGAAATAAAAGAAGCAATTAGTAAACAAAAAGCAACAACAAAACTCCCGGAACAGACGGTTTACCTGCAGAATTATATAAAAACTTAGGCGAAATTCTTGACCCAATTCTTTTAGAAATCTATAATGAAATACTTAAAGGGGCAGAGCTACCAAGGTCATGAGAGAAGCATAAATCATATTAATTTCGAAGGAGGGTGAAGATATCACCCACATAAACAACTATAGACCAATTTCTTTGTTCAATGCCAACTACAAAATATTTATTAATTTAATGGCTGAGAGACTAAAAAAATACTAAGTAGATATATACATACTGATCAAAACGATTTTCTTCCAACAAGACAACTTAAAACATACTGATCAAAACGATTTTCTTCCAACAAGACTAGATATCCAACAGTACTAAATATCCTGGAATACTATGAGGCTCATCCAGAAAAACAGGCTACACTTGTTTTTCTGGATGCTCAAAAAGCCTTTGGCAAAGTAAATTGGGAATTTATGAGACAACAAGGAAAGGAAAGGAAATTCGGGGATAAATTTGAAAAAATGTTAGAATCAATATATTCAAGCCAAGAAGCCCGGGTTATAATTAATGGAAAAATGACTAATTCATTTGAAATAGAAAAGGGAGTCAGGCAGGGATGCCCATTTTCACCTCTGCTCTTTATCATGATTTTGGAAACTTTGTTGAGAAAAATTAGACAGAATATGGAGATAAAAGGATTAAGAATTAAAAATGAAGAATACAAGGCCCAGGCATTTGCAGATGACCTTGTGTTCTTCATAGAAGAACCAATAAAATCAGGAACAAAATTAATTAAAGAGATAGAGAGATATGGAGAAGTGGCAGGGTTAACAATCAATAAGGATAAAAATAAAATGATAACAAAAAAAAATCTAACAGAGAAACATAAAAAAAATTAGAAGAGGTAATGGGCTTACAAATTCTAAAAAGAATCAAATATTTAGGAATTTGGCTCATGGCAAGATATTCAACAATAAAAGAAGATAATTATGTAAAATTGGTATGAGAAATAAAAAAAGACTTAGAAAAATGGGGGAAATTATAATTATCAATGCTAGGAAGAATAGCGACTATTAAGATGAACATCTTGCCAAGAATATTATTTCTCTTTCAAAATATTCCAATTATATTGGATAATTTTTTTAATGAATTAAATAAAATTACTACGAAATTTATTTGGTCAGGGAAAAAGCCTAGAATAAAATTAAGCTACTTACAAGATAATAGATGCAGAGATGGATTTGGGCTCCCCACCTGGGAACTAAAGCGGCAACTTTAACATGGATTAAGGATTGGGGCAATTTGAGAAATTAAAGAGTCTTAATTCTAGAAGGGCATGATTTGGAAGCAGGGTGGCATGCCTTCATGTGGAACCCGGGAAATAAAAGCTACACACATTTTAATAGGCATATAATTAGATGTTCACTATTAAAGGTGTGGAAAGAAATTAAACACAAACATTATATGAAGATCCCATGATGGGTTTCCGTCATGGAGGCATTGAACCATCCCAATGCACTAGAAACTGGAAGAAAAAAATATGTATTATGATGTACTAAATTCCCAAGGAAGATTAATGACAAATCAAGAAATTAGAGAGCAAGGGATGAAAATAGAGTGGTGGCCATATTTACAACTCAAGGCAAGATATAAAAAAGACATGGAAGAGTCGAATTGAGATAAAACCGAATCAATTAGATAAAATATTGGAGGGAACAGATGAAAAATTAATCTCAAAAATGTATAGCTACCAGTTAGAATATGAAATGGCCAGGGGTGGGATTCTACCAGTTCGCACCTATTCGCTAGAACCAGTTGTTAACATTCTAAGCAGTTCAGAGAACCAGTTGTTAGAAGAAATTCCTGGCCTGGAGGGCGGAGCTGACGTCATGACGATACGGCATGCAATCTTGGAGGTCTGAGATCTCTGCCGATATCTTTGCTCCTGGACGGTCCAATCGGATCTAAACTGTCCCAAAGAGACGGTGAATGTAAATAGCGCATCCTGTCGATCCCAGGGATACAGCAAAGTCCCTGGTAGATCCAGGAGAAGCTCTTTTTGCCAGCGGCAAAGAGGCAGCCATTAAAGCTGCTGAAGTTGGGACAGCTCCGAAATGAAAGAGAATGGAAAGAGAAAGTTGCCGGTTTGGTGAGAACTTTTTCTTTACTTTAAGATTTGAAAGGACACCCCAAGGAAAAGAAAGAATCTGTAAAAGTTTTGACAGAAGTGATTAAGCGGCAATTTTAAACAGGAACGTCAAAGTAATATTTTTATATTTTTTTCTCATTGCTGGATTTTCTATACATGACTTTATATTTTGAAACTGGACTGGTTTTTTTTTCTTCTTTCACCTATTCTTTCTCTCCTTTTTGACTTTATAATATTCTAGGCTAGAGACTCCCCTTTAGTCATCTTTTTAAATATCTTTTCCCCTTTTTAATTAATTTTTATTATTATATTTTGTTTGGAAAAGGAGGGGGCAAGTGAAAGCAAAAGAAACTTTGTAACACTGCCAACTAGAGACTTGGAAATATTCTATCTCTTTTTCTTGACCAGACAAAGCTGAGAAAGAACTGAGACTTCTTTTCAAGGACATTGCTGTTTGATAAGATAGAGGGAAGCGCATGGGAGAGTATTATTGCAGGTGCTGTTCTGGGTTTCTATCAATATCTGGAGTCTGATGTTGAAGCTTATAGAAAAAAAAGGTGACAAGACTCTGGAGAAGAGAGTTATAAATTTTAACAAAAGCCTTGGATAATCAAACAAGGTGTAGTGTGCTCTTTTTATTTTTTTTAAGCTGGACTATTTCTTACATTAATAAACCCCCTCCTTACTAGTTTACTTTTTGTAATAGCTATTTGGATCTTTGGCCTTTTGGAACTTGTTTTTGTCTTTCTTTTTGTCTTTTGAAGTCTAATTTTTACATTTGCATTTTATTTTAAAGGAAAACCTTTAGTATTAATGATTTCCTTCCTTTTCTTTTTAAGGGAGTAGTCTCTTTTCTTTTTTCTCTCTCCCTCCCTTGTATTTTTTTTCTATTTACCTTCCATATTGGTTGTTTTTTTTTGTGGCTTTTTTTTTTGTTATGCATCCTTTTATACCTGAGACGATTATGTAAGGAATTCAAAATATTCAAATAAGAACAGAGAATATTGAACAAAGAACAGGGAAAACTGATGAAAAGGTGGAGAACATTCAACAAATGATGATGAAGTATGATGAGAGATTCCAAAAAATTGAAGAAGAAGATAAACAAAGAGATAAGATGTGGCTATTCTGCCTTGGCTATTTTTCCATAAAACAAATCTTGCTTAGCACGTACACCTCTCAGGGCAAATTCCACTGAGCTGACAGGAAAGAAGCTGACAAGATTAACTCCAGAAGTCTGTGTCAGCTAAAAGATGTGTATTCAGTATTAAGACATGTTTACCGGAAAAGTATCAGTCACGAAGTATCAGTCACGAAGTTCGCTACTTGTGTCACGTAGCTGGTTCTAATGATTAACTTTGTAACTCTATTGTTTCCTGCAATCCCTCTCACCCCCTTCTTTGATTCAGCACAATAAAAGAGGACAGCGCAAAGCAATAGGGGCCGCCGGGACAATTCCATCTGCCCCAGGCGCGATGTGCTTCCTCACCTGAAGAAATTGCTTTGTTTCGTGTCTTTTTCTTTGTGCTTGGCACTCACTCTTGCGAGAGTCCCGCTAAACCTCACCCTTGCGAGGGTCCCGCTAAGCTTCACCCTTGAGAGGGTCCCACCAAATTGCTTCTTGAAAGGAATTCAGCAGCAAACCGGAAGATCGAAACAACGGACCGGTCGCTCGACGCGACAATAAGAAGATTGGAGATATTGATAGCAGATTAACTGTGGTTGAACAAGATAAAAGTGGGATGTTGGGATGGGAGATGGACAGATCAGAATTTTATCTCAGATTCCAAAACATAGAGGAAGAAAAGGGACAAAACCTAGCCGAGATAATGATAGAAATTTTGGCTGAAGCACTGGAAATAACTAAAGAGAAGATGATGGATGGAATAGACGAGG